TGGTCGAAGCCGTACAACCGGGATGTGTTGTGTAAACACAGTTAACTACGTTTTGCCCACTACACCGTGGACACGCATACATGTATGTACATACATGTATATATATGTGTATATATGTATATATACATATAAATATATATATATATATATATATATATATATTTATATGTATGCTTTATATAGTATACGCTAACGTCTAAAGGGTTTCCCCGTGGAATACTATCGGAGAATGGTGCTCGTGTCGCACCTGTGACACTAAATGCGAAACTTTAATCTCGCATCTTAATCGCACTTCTAACGATCAGAGTGATATTTCTGGAATTTTACCGTCCGATTACTGCTTACTTTGAATGTAAAGCCGCGTTAGGTTTAATATTTTAATCACCGGAGATAATTGCGGATTATTTTCAATCTCTTGCTGAAAGCACAGATTAATTATAGATCTTGTATTCATATCGTCGCCGAGTTGTTTGCAAACGTATCTGACAAATGTCTGTTTTGCGAATTGTTATTTGAAGATCCTGCTGTTAATTTTATGTTCGTAATCATCTCTGCGTGCTTTGAATAATTGATGATTTGTGCAAGAAATAATTAATTAATTTGCTCTCGTAATCTCGCTTTAAATTTATATTTTTCGTAACAGATTTGCAAAAAGATATTGCTCAAATATTTAATTTTTCGAACCGCGACTTACAACCTTACACATTATTTCCTATTTATCACTGTTTCAAAGATTTTACATAAAATATATTTATTTATGTGTACCAGTGAACTGAAGCAGCCGAAGCAAAGCAAAGCTTAAAGCTCTCTGTTTCTACTTGCCCACAATGTATCCATATTATGAACTATCTGGAATGACATATCACAGCGCGGATAGGCAGACGTATTGCGACGTCACGTATTACGCAGATAGACACGTACGAGTATATTACACACGAGAATCTGACATCACGCGCGTACTGTGGCATTTGATAGATAAGATCGTTACACTATCTGAATGATAGCAACGTATGCAACTTGCATTACCTACATCCTCTCTTAATCATTGCACATATGAAATCAACACATCCGGTACATCGATCCTCTTACCGTTTCGTATCATTGCATAATATTCTCTCAAATGAATTATTTCTTATAAAATTATTTCTTATACTTTCGATTAATTTTGGGAGAACTTACGATTAATTAAGAAAAGGTTTATTGTGATTTTTTTTAAGAAATTATATTTCTTGAGAAGAGATAGTTTAATATGAAATAATTTAACATGAGAAAATAAATATAACATATTTCAAGTGCTTTTGAACGAAATACAAATTAATATGCCTGGAAAATTCTTGTGGTACGAAATAATTTAATTTTTTAAATTTTAATTTTAAACATTTTATTAAATAAATAATTAAGATTAAAAAAATTAAATTAATTATTTAAATTAACATATGTTAGCTTAAATACGTTAGATCAAATTCTTTCAATAAGTATTTAGTAATGATCGAACTTTGAGTGAGTTATATCAAGGATTATACTTTATTTTGCTCTGAATTTACGTTCAATTCTTGCATTAATTTTCGAAAGATGGATTCGAAAGATATCCGCGACATTTACGTACTGATTATTGACGAGCGATGCAGCTATTGGCAAATCTCACTTGTAGATATTTTAACGTTTAAAAGCATGAGACTTCACTTGTTCTGTAGAGGATCAAAGGATTGCTTTTAGCAAATTTCGCTTTAGTGCGCATTTTGTTCTCATCTTTTTACATAATGCTCCAGTTTCACCTATCGGTTATCGACTATCGAAATATTCAGTGGAATTGCTGTCAGTTGTCTGAAGATGTTCGATATAAGTAGGTGAAGTTAAATAAAGAAAACGGCTGATAGATAAAAGAGCCATTTATTATGCGGACATTTCCTTTTTAAATATCTAACCGAAATACATAACTGAAAATTAAGAAATTTTAGACGTCAAAATGATTTAGAATATTTGTGCAGGTAGTCTATAATTTCATTGATATTTTAATGATACAGCTTGTCGGAGGTTGAGTTTCCTAAAAGTTTAATTTTACGCTGTATTTCTGCAGTTTCGAAAATTTGCATATGTATTGCACATAGTTGTAATTGAAATGCGCTTGCCGGAAACGGATGTATAAAATATAAATAAAAGGAAAGTTACAAGAAGGAGAGAAAGAAAAAGAGAGAGAGAGCGAGAGAGGAAAAAGAAGAAAAAGGGAATTTATAAACGACCTGTCTGTTTCTGGCGTGCATCAAGCCCCAGGCACGCTGACGCATAATTGGCCAAATCCTCTGCATGCATACGTCACGTTTTCGCGTGCGCCCCGCCGTGATTCCGTCTATTCTCTATCGCGCGCATAAATATCACGCGTTAGATTCGGTAAAGGGATGACTTGCCAACGGTCTGCGCCCCGTCCGCCCGTCCGTACATTGGCGCGCCTAAGTGGTAAACTTGTTAAGTGGCGAAATAAAGTTGGGGGGGGGGGGCAAGGGCTCCGCGTGCGCGCGCGCATGCTACCGTGTCTGTGACAGTTTAATTAATATCTTTCATCCTCAAAGGAAAAACTTGGCGAACTAACCGGCATGGACCCGGTTGCAATGCCCGGGCCGGACTAGAACCACTTCAACTTCGGACGCAACGACGGCGACGACGTCGACAATCCCCCTTCCCCCCCCCCCTCCGCTCCGCCAACCAGGGCGTTCTCCGCGACTCCATTCTTCTCTCGCTCTCGTTTACGTCTCTCGTCTCGCGACTACTCTGATAAAGTTCCATATGTTTTTCTTTTCTTTTCTTTTAACGTTATTTTGCGGCGATTTTGCACGTTGGCGCTGCCAAATTGGTAAGATATACGCGCGCGACTGAGAATTTTCATAACAAAATTTTCGCTCGCAAGAAATATATTAATCTCATTTGCAACCTATTGGAAATTTAATGAAAAATTTTACATGTCATATTATAATATTGGTTTTATAATAATATTATTTTTAATGGAGTGTAAACCGCTAATGGACGTACGTAAATGTTTTTACACGCATGCACATGTTTTTCCCCATTTTTAATTACACTATCAACAATTGAGAAAAAAATACGGATATTTATTTACTCTTGTTTTGACACACGTACGCGATTTTCCGGCCGCGTATCTCTAAATGTACCGACGATTAGCTTTATAAAATATCGCCAGAAAGTGATAATGCGCTCGTGGGTGTAGAAGCCGCGAGAGAGGGAAAAAAAATGAAGGTGATCCGGCGAGTTTGTAAGCCGCGATTTCTGAACAATCCGCGAAAATAAACGTGCGTGAAATCTGCATGCATCGAGTTTACTCTGCAAACTCACTGCTCTGTCCGACGGCCGTTATACTATTCGAAATATTTCACGAGCAGTCCCCATGACATGTATTTTCCCATTAAAGTATTTGGGTTTATTGCTAGTTACAGTTTACACGAATTATTCGGAAGATCGATGCATGATTAAAAATGAAATGAGAAGTGTTCTTTGATAAATTTGCTGAAAAGCTGATTGTATTATTATTCGGTTGTTGACAAATATGAAAAACGTGACTGCGTTTTGCGTTGTACAATATTTGTAGTTATACACGTGAAAGTAGTTTCCTTTTAATTGCTGACATTCAGTGCATAAAATTTTACTAAGCTCTGCAAAAAAAATTCCATTTAATAAATAGTAAATTTTTGTGTGTGACTGCACGTCGCGATAAAAACTAAATTTCCCTCGATGCATTTCCTGTTTGTTTGTTTGTTTGAAAAGGTATTTTGGACTGTTTGAGCTGTTTAAGCCACGTTTTCGTGTGTCGGCTCGAGGTTTGCGTGAGGAAATTTTTCTCCCTTTCTTCGCCAAATATTATCGGGCTCTGTGATAAAGGCAGACAACGTATCGCCAGCGCAACACCGTATAAATCTACCACGTATAGATAATATTTCACAATGCATTATTCAGATTTTTCACAAAGCTTTATATGCTACGCGGGGAGAAACCCTTCAGACGTCGCCGAGTGGATGCCGAGGCTCGTGCAGGAAACACGTGACGTTACGGCGTTTATTTACGAGTTGGCACGCAACGCGAAGTGATTCCCTTTTACTCCGATTATTGCCGGTCAAATACCCCGATCATCGACACGAGAGGAACACGCGATCTTATCAAATAATTGAAAAACCGCACCGCACTTTTAAAGGGGATACAGCCTTCGTATTACCGTGATCGAATTGATGATTCCAAAGAAACGAAATTAAGGTTTGCACGTTTAAATTAACTGCGTTCAGGAAATATGCTTCTTTTTTCCTTCATATCTATTACAAGCATATAAAATATCATTAAATTTTTTTGTTTTATGTAAACTTTTCAAAAAAGTTTATAATAGTGATCATCAGAAGAATTGTCTAATGTTCAAAAAATTTTAAATTCTCTCTAGATTGTCGAAAACTCATTAATCGAATAGCATTTGTTGCAATTATTTTATATATGAATGAATATAAGTATTAATATATTAAATATTAAATATAAATCAAAATTTTTTTTGTTTTTAAATTACGTATGAGATATGTAAATGTTTTATTTGGTTTCACTTTTACACCGCAAATTAATTAAAATTAACATATTACGTCAAGTAACGGAAGATTTGTATTCGGGTCGAATACAAACTATAAATTATGCGGGATACAATCTAATATAAGGAATAGCCTTGCGAGTCCCGTTGTATGTTAAGTTGAAATATATTCGAGGGTGGGACCCTCCGAACAATTTACCAATGTTTATTGGAGGGGACCGAGAGTAAAAGATACTTGGAGCGAGTGTCCTTTATTTTTCCGACGGTAATACGGGATATTTGCTCGCTCGCATTCCTCGGCACGTGCCATTAACGCCGACGAGAATTTCCGTCTCTCCGCGAGCTCTCTCCCCTGCGCGACGGGGCGTGGAGGAGCGAGAAAAGGAAAAACCAGCCGGCAATATGCAGATGAGTATATACGGGTATGTACCTGATAGCGTCGGATTCGTCGCGGACGAGGAGCCGTCTTGGCGCATGGCGTCACTGGTAATTGCCGTTCCGCCGAGATTGGTGCTGTAGTCTTCGAGAAGTACGCAGCACAGTAATAGCCGTGCCACCCTCATTCTGAAAGAACGAAAGAAAAGCTGAACGAGAATAACAAACCCACGGTTCTCTGTCAACGGGATCTTCTCCCTTTCTCTCTTGTTTTTCCCTCTCTACATCTTAAAATTTTACTACTGGAGGAAATACTGAGGAAATTTTCCGACATTTATTGCATTCAGATACGATTATCCGCGGTAATTGTTGCAAGGTGTTGCAATGTGTATATGACGTGATATATTTTGTGATACATTTTGATTAATACCCCAAACATACAATAGTTAATTAATTAATTAATTAATCATGAAAATACGAAATGAATTGAAACTGAACGATAATAGCATACTCGCGAAATGTTTGCGAATTATTCCAAAATGTTTCAATGTATGATATTAAAACAAGCAATGGCTATATTTAAAGATGTATTAAAATCGCGGCGCTTTATCTCGCACATATTATGTACCCGGAACATTGGAACTTTAATTACAATTATTAGAGCTAAAGTTTGTTTCATCAGCAGTAAGAGATACGTAAATATTTTCCAAATTTATTGGAGATGCTAGAGAAGCTTTCGTATTTTCACGTTTCACGTTACAACTTGAAAAATATTTTGTCCGCTACCATATCGATTTATACGTCAAAAAGCCAATTTTGGAAAAGCAAAACAACATTTTATTGATGATGATACTTGAAGAAGCCCAGTTTTGAAAATCTCAATGAAATGAATACAGTGCATCTCGTGTGTTTCACTACATCTCGTACATTACCTCGTTATGTCTTTTTATTTCTATGTGGTTGTTGAAATTTAATAATGCATTAATAATGTACAGATATAACTCTTTGCGAATTGAACAAAATGTGTGAATAAACGGGTAAAGGAGAAATAGAATTTAAGATTAATATTGAGAGATTAATCTGACTTTTTAATATTTATTTATTTAAGAATAATATAATTTTTTCCTTATTTGTATTTTATTATTTTAAATAATAAAATGTCTTAAAAGAATTTTTTTTAGTTATTAAGAAAATATAATATTAATAAACAACAGTTCCATTGTATCGTGATATAACAACGACGAGAGAGAAAGAAAGAAAATCGTCAGAATAATGGTGGCAATAATCTTGAGATTAAAAGAACGGAAAGATTTATAACAAAATACACAACGTATAAACTAAAAACTGTACACTAAACTAAAGGTAAAGGGAGGTAAACGGCTCACTTAATCGGCCGTGCCTATCGCGAGAAAACGAAGCTTTCCGAGAGTGAGCCCACCCCCTGTAGCCGAACATCCTCGAACCGCCGAAGGCGACGGTGAGCGAACCGGTTAACGTGTTGCGAGAACTTTCCTCCCGTTCACGCGCCCCATACCCTTTTTCTCCCGTTCGTGTCTCTTTTGGTTTTTTCTTTTCGTCGTTTTGCGCGCTTCTCCTTGTCTCCTTTCTCGATCGATACATTTGTCAAGCGACGTATAAACGCCACTAAGTTCACGGCAATTCCACGTAATGTACGAGGAGAATCGACCGTCAAAGTGTTTTGCCGGACTTGGGTCGTACATCCTGGGGACGTTGGAGACGCGGTCGCTCGTTGGTCGTCGCCCTTTGGGGAAACACGCGCGAGACAACTATCCTTTACACCATCCCGTAAATAACTATCTCGGCCGTTTAGCGGCGGAGATTTCCAGTCCGCGCACGAGGCGGAATTTAGCGCTCCTCTTCCGCCGCGCGCTTATACGCCGAGTATAACTACTTATTCTTATTTACGGCAGGACCAAATGAAAACCCCTTTCGGTCCTGTCTCGCGTCCGACGCTCGTTACCCATCCCTCCTCTCTTCCCTCCTTTTTTTTCCTCTCGCTCGTCGTCACTCCACCATCCCTCTCCCGGTGGCACGCCGATGTCAGATTATGAGCTCTTTGTCCCATCACGCTTACGTGTGATCGATGGTCCTCTCGGGCCGGGGCGAAGGGAAAGATTTACCGGCAAAAGCATCGTGATTTTTTGAGAGATTCGGGTCAAGAGGAGAGATACCCGAGATATTATATCCCGCTGATTACTTCTGCCACTTTTGTATCGCGCGAAAATACTCTCATTTTCGAGTATCACCACGGGATATTTTCGTCGTGGCTGTCGCCGCGCCGGCACCGCTACCCCGTTCGGCTCTTAATTTCGGCCTCACTTCCCGACTGGTACTTCCCCGGGGTTCTTTTACCTCTCGGGTCTTTAGAAGCAGCTTCTCCTCTTGCAATTTTATCTGATGGAAGCCAAGGGAAAAACCCGGGGCCAAGCTGTTGAGCTCGAGTTTAGCTCCCCGGCCGAGCGAAAATCTCCCCGGCGTTCGGTTATCTGCGCGTAAAAAAATATTTCGGATCGTGATTTTATTTCTATCCCGACTGTGCCGGGGGTCTCTCTCTTGCGCCTTCCCGCGCACTCGACTTTAATCCCCCGACCGGCACATCGTAAAGTGAAATCATGACGTATCGATCTCGCGATCGATCTTGCGCGCGATAAATTCAGGCGTCTTGTACCAGACATGTCGGCGGCATCTGCTCTTTTTATTCTTTCCTTTTATTTTATGAATCCGACGATACGGACGAAGTACTTTCGCGTTTCATCTGAGGATCGCACATATATCTTCGCGGCATCTCGATTCGATAAGATACGGGAGAGAGAAATCTCCGGGACCGCGCGCGCGGCCCGAAGAGGCGCTTGATTTATTCGAGCACGGCGAAAATCTTTTATTCCTCAATTATCGTCGCGTGAAAATATTTTAATCCGTCCCACGGAGTTTAATTCTCGCTCCATTTCCGCTGCTGTAATTTTCACAGCTCGATTTTTCTCTGTCTCTCTCTCTCTCTCTCTCTCTCTCTCTCCCCCCTCTCTCCTCTTATTGAAAATATTTTTCCTATCCACCCTCCGGATGCCTCGTGTCTCTTCGATCGAATGCATTATTCTCATACGCCTTTATTGAATTTATTATCCCGGCTCATCATTACTCGCTGCATTGCCGGAATCGCTTCTATCATTTAATCCCGATCCACTCTCTCTTTCTCTCGTTCACTTTTCAGACGTAATATATATCCGACGCCATCTACTACAGGGGTAATTTTCTACAAGGCGCGAAGTAAAAGCGCGCGCCTATAAATCTGGTTTTCGCCATTATCGCGAGCCACCCGTCGAGCGAAGAGAGATTGGCGATATCAACATCCATAAAGATGATCTTGTCTGTATAAGTAGAAAATTCCATAACTCTACTCTCTTAGGCGCGTTTACCGCGGACCGGATGTTTACCCGCCCCACAAACAATCGCCGCAGGGAAAAGAGTTCAGAGGCGAATGTTATAACGGCTAAGCCGGAATACCAATCGGTTCTGCTGTACGATAGCGCGATAGAAACCGCGTTTGGGAAAATGCTAAAATCCTAGAAACGCTAAGCGAAAAACACGAATCCACGAGAGATTTATACGCGACCAAATTTTCCTCCCGCGAACGTAAATTCACTCCTCGCTGTGGAATAATGACTGTGAAAGTTTCCTGTTCTCGTTTCACTGCGGGAATTTCAGGATTTTCCGAAAAAAGGATTAGCGCAAGCGAGAACCTCGGTACATACGTTTCTTCTAAGTCTTTTATTCAACACGCTAAAAAAAAATCGTAAAATTAATGCTTAAGAGAGTGAGAGAAGAAGTCATATTATATTATTTTTAGAAACAAATGATTCTCAAATAAAAAATATAACTTACGAGGTAGGGTCAAAAAGTTCCCGGAATTGGTCAATGACAATTTATTAAAATAATATACTTACGTTATTGTCCTTCAAAGTACTGTTGAAGGGACACCGTTTTGTTAATTCAGAAGAGATTATGGAAAATACGACGGAGCTGAACAAACTTTCCAAAAATGACTTCCAGGAGTGTTTTGAACAATTGTATGAACGGTGGAACAAGTGTGTAAATGCAGGAGGACAGTACTTTGAAGGACAATAACGTAAATACTGTATATTATTTCAATAAATTGTTATTGACCAATTCCGGGAACTTTTTGACCTTACCTTGTATCGTAGAAAATGGCAAGTTTTTTTAAAATTTTATTTAGAAATTTAGATTTACCTATATTGCCGTTTCTTGCAACATACTTATACATGTACATACATATTATATTTACTTATCTTATTTTCTTCTTATATTCTTATTTTTTTTATTATTTATAATGATCAAGTAAAAGTATCGATTCACGTCTATAAAAAAAGAAAAATGTCTTTGTCTACAAATATCATTAATTCTTCGAAAAAAAAACTATAATATGTACTATTTCGATTTCTTATATTTTGATAAAAAATATATTAGAAAAGGTTTTTAATAGTTTAGTTTTTACTTGTGCACATCTTTTTTATTTTGGCCAAACTTTAACTTAAAATTCGTGTATGTCATACTCTCGACGAACAGTTTATCGTTCGGTGTCATGATCAATACCAAGATTGGCAGAATACACTGGGATCGTTATAAAATATGATGAAATGGCAGCGTGTACGTGAAACACGCGGGAGACGCTAACCCGAAGTGACATTGATCCCTATCGCGCGAATAGAAAATATAAAAAAAGTGATATACGACGAAAGAATTTACTGGTGTAGTCGGCGGGCTTAAACTGTCGTTCCCTAATAGTCGTTCTCTTCAGCCAATCTCGTCGATTCCCCCGGCTCAACCCCGGGAATCGATCGTGCCGGCCGAAAATCGGCATCCAAGCCGAGTTAATCGCGTCCGAAACGACGTTGCGGAAAAACTCCCGGGCGGCCGATCAATTTACCGAGAGAGAGACTCTATCTCAGCGGCCTTCTCAATAATCTTTTTTCTTATGATAATACACACTCTTCCTCCCCCTTCGCGCGCCAAATGGGGCAGATTTGATTCCGGCCCCGCCGAGGAATCTCCGCGATCCGCGCGATCCCTCATACCGACGACGTTATATCACTCGGAATGATTTATTCCGGCTATCGCATCGCGCACCGAATCGCTCCTCTCCCTCTGGCTCTCTTCCATAAACGCGAAGAATAATTCCAGCATATAATACCGCGGACGGACATATGTCTGCTTTATGAGTGACCGGCATTGTGCGAAAATGGATTTAATTTGGATATCACGCAAATCGTGCATAAACATCATTTTCATCTGAATAGAATTGCTCTAAGCGTTCTACGACGGTGAATTCGCATAATCACGTCGCTACACGACATTTAGTTTCTCATGAGGGAACATGGAATTGGAATTTCGATCCGAAAGAAATACATATACAGAAATGTGTGTGTTTAACATTTATAGCGGATATTATCTGATAGATCGTTCTGCAACAAGCTTCACAAAAATCCATTGTGATTTTATTATAAGAAAATCTATATTTAATATTTCCTTCGTTTCGAAACTGTAATAAATTCTATTTTGACGAAGCGAATTTAATATTTTTTTCTTTACGATTAATCTTGTTTTCTTCAAATGTATATATCTCCCGATTCCATTCGATTTATCTAGATAGATGCCATGTATTTCTCCTTGCAAGACTGAGGAGATATGAACGAATGCATTTTTAATGTCCGCATATACGAAGAGTTCGATAATGGATGTATTTCGTGCAATGCACGGTGTCATCGTCGGAAACTGATCTTTTCTTAATAAAAATCGTAAGATATTAATTCTTAGAAAAAGATTTTTTTACACGGATTTTTTAATGTGTTATATATAACGTATTTATATAAATAAATTGATAAAATTTTTATATTTTTTAAATAATTTCGTACTTTTAATTCAACATAGTTTTAATTTGGAAAATAATTATCATGATATTTAAATGTAATACTTATGAAGATTAATCTTTTACAGATTATGGAAAAAAACCAGAAATAAAATTTAAATTTAAAAGAGTTATTTGGCTGTAAAGATTGATTATCGAATCGCATTATCGAGTCGCAAAAATATTATTCGGAAATATTATTCTAAAATATTGAAGCCGGCATTTTTAATTCGGGTTTTGTGTCTGAGATATAAATTCGTCGAAATTGTTAATAGTCGTCAGATATATTGGTTCGCAGACTTCACCTCTCGTAAAACTGCGTCGTATAAACGCATCTTTATTTCCGCACGCTTTCTTCTTTTTCCGTACCGGGAAACGCGCTCGGTATGCGGCCCGTATAACAGTGGAGGGGATAAAAAAGAGAATATGTAAGCTGCAACACCCACGCATAACGTAAAATATAGCGCAATAACTCACTGCTTGCGTAAAATGCTCCAAAATGTCCTTTTAACAATATCGTTTGCGTTAACGTTCGCAGTAACACCGGTTTTACGCGTTACACGCGTCGATTTTTATTCGAAATCCCCGGCGCTGCCATGCTCAGCACCGGGGCAACTTATCACGGAAGAAGGAAAAAAAAGGGACGCAACTGCACTGCAATTGCACCGTGACGGGCTAACGTAAGGCATATCTCTTCCCTTTCTCTCGTCTTTTACTTCAGCCTCGCACACAGCGCGTCCAAATTACAAAGGCCACTCCGCACCCACGTCGACAATGGACTGTTATCTACATGTCAAACTCACTCCGGTCGTACTGAACAGGATTCAGATCCTCGAGCGTGACATCACCGCTTAACGGGAAGATGTGTTTAACGGGAAAATAAATTAACTTCACTGCCAACTTTAACGAAAAGAAAAAAAAAATACAAAACTTGATAATTCCATCGAGGAATATTACCTCGCGAAGAAAGTGTAGCATTATACTGGCAAGAGTGTGACACGGCGCGCCATATACGCGCGTATATCCCTTTTTTTCCGCTTGTCCGCGCACTCTTTTTTTTTCCCTCTTCGAGTGGACCCGCGAATTTTGCACGTTTTTCCGACGAAGTTGTCACCCGCACGATTCGTGAATTCGCGCGGCGAAACTACACCTCCGTCGACGGACGCATTCCCGGGCGTCGGGACGCGTGTACTGACTGCGTCGAGCTGGCCGCGCCGTCGTGCGAGTCGAGAGAGCGGCGTCGGGACGCTCGTCGTGACGGGACGCGCTCAACTCGCATGGCGCAGGCCCGCAGGACTATACGGTATCGCTTTCTTCTTTCTCCACCGATTCTCCTAGCTCTCTCTATCCTCTCCTCTCTCTCCTCCCCTCCCTCCCTCCTTCTCTCTCTCTCTCGTCTCTCCTTATCTCTTTTTCTCTCTCGTCCTATCGTTCGCGCCGTTGGATATAATATTCAATTTATTATGTACCTTTGATACATGCGGACCGCCGCGCCGGAAAAGTGGGAGGCGCGAATGCACGGCAGCCACGGGCTGCCGGCTCTCCTTCCGGGGAAAAATAAAATGGGGAAAATATGAGAAACGGGAGAGAGGGAGAGAGAAAGAGAGAGAGAGAGAGAAGTGTTAAAGGACGAGGGAACGAGATTGCGGCGGACGTGGGACGTGATGGCGAGGAGAAGAACGGACGGAATCGGCAGCGTTCCGCTCGAGGGTGAATTGTCGAGATATTGTCGATCGGGCAGCTCGCCCCTCGATAAAGCGCCTCGGTCAAAACGTCCTCCTTTTTGGTGCTCGACCGGCTGACGAGCGGGAAAAAGAGTGCCCGGGACTGAAGTGCCGATCGCTATGTCAAAGATGGGGGAAGGAGGAAAAAGCACGACGTTGACGAGGACGACGACGACGACGACGACGACAACGATCAGGGGAATGTGCGGTTGTGTGGATTTGTTCGTACACCGTTCGTTTTTCCGCTAATTGTTGACGAACGAGCCGTCGTTAGTGTTCGGATTTAATCTCGAGAGATAACATGAGGACTTTATACGCGATTGATATATCTAGAGTCCCGCAGGGATGACTGATTCGCGCACAGTTTATTTGGGTTTAGTGAACCCACGGATTCGAGCTCAATACATTGCGAACGTTCACATACATTTGTACATTATTTATATCTATACACACACCTGTTTTTTTTAAGTAATAATGCAATAAGCATGAGAAAAAGTGAAAGAAAAATGTAATTTAATTTAAGAAAATATAGAGGAGACCGAGGCTCAATTGACGCAGTTTACACAATTTAGACATTCGACTTTTTAAACAAGTATTTATTATGATTGAACTATAGTAATACAGTAGAAAGAACTTTTCTCTACATTTTCATGCCAGGAACGATTCTGTGTACTGTGTGTAGTTTCTTTGTATAATAAATGAAATACAAACACACTGCATTATAGCCAATTTACCCCGATAGTGGGGTAAATTGACATAATCACGGTGTAAGCTGCTTATACAACAAATTCCATATTATGTAAATTAATGAAAACATAATAGAAATAAAAATAGATCGCGGTTAAGTATTTCTTAAAAAAAGATTGCATCTTTTAAAAGTTATTTATAATGATCAAATAGCAAAATGCTGTTATAGGAAAACAAACGTAAACTATTTTTCATGTAACTTGCTTTAATACAGAAATATTAAATAAAAAATATTTTGTCATAATTAAGACGTACCTGAAAGTTTCCACGTTTCTTACAGTAAGTCCAGCTAAGCTTGCCTTAAACATGCTTCATCCTTACACAGACGTATGATTAAATCATTTTATTATAACAAATTATGGTTATTACTCAAAATAATATGTCATATAGTTTCATAACAGAAACTTTTCTTTTAATTAATAATACTCACTTAAATTTATTTTCTCTAGTTGAGGAACATTAATACGAAATTTTGAAACGCTTGAAAATTTAATTATCTTCTCTTGAATCAGTTTTCTTTTTATTTATTAAAATATTTGTTTGATTTAAATAAAATTTAGAGAAAAGTACGTAATATATTATAAAAAATATTTCACGGTAACTTTTCCATTGTTTCTTCAGCCATAAATTCATAAAAACGGAAAGCAACGTCAACGTTGCCTCTTATGCCAACGAGCCTCGGTGTCTCCTAACGAAAATAAAATATAAGACACAAACTCGTATAAGTATTTCATATAGATGAAGCAAGGTAGCGAAAAAAGAAGTTTATTTTTACTTTTATGTAATCCATAATTAAAAGCAAGATACGTCTGGAGCGCAAAACTGAAAAAACTAAAAAAAATGTATATATTATTTCACACACACATAATAATTGTGTGGTTGATCATTGTAATATTAATCAGAAAAGTAATTTAAATATTATCTAAAATATAGATATATTAATCTGAATAATTGGAATTTATGGTATATATGTTTTTTATCTAAAATTCTGAAAATATCTTTGAGAACTTTAAAGATAGGAAAGAATGAATCGTATCGCAGAGAAAAAATGCTCTTTTAAAAGGATGACATAATCGTGTAATGTTATAGCTGTAATAAACTTTTAGATATGCCATCTCGGAGCGCGTAAGGCGAAGTAGCTTGCATATCGCGAACTTTTGTTCTATCTTTCATCGTAATGAAAATTTTACTGCAAGTCCGTCGAATCGGAAATTTGTTTAGCGGGAATTAAACGCCGCTGTGAAGATATGCCAAATAGGAGCCAAGCTAAAAGTAAAGATAATATAATTAGCTACTTGCCCAGCTTATTAAAAGTTGCTTTAAGAAGCTGCCATAAGATACGCGAGATACTTTTAATTCATGACAGCCACCGCCCGTTGAGAGATTGTTTCCAGTCGAAATTCTTTGGAAAGGTCGAGAAAATAAGTTTTATTTTGAGATATCGGATTTGCGTGTTTCTTCAAGAGTATATAAGCATATTTTCTGGACGATCTCGCATAAAGTTAATTGATCGTCGCGGTAAAATAATTATTTCTTCCTATTTTAAATTATGTATATCTTGTAAATTAGTTCCCTCTTTTGAGCTCTTTAAACTTTATAAAAGTCCAAAGAATGTTTTAATAAATTTCTCTAATGAGTAATAATATTTGTAGTAATTAATATTTTTAATAATTTCAAATCTTATTTTAATCGGTTTTTATGTAAAATGATTAACAACATAATTAATATTATTGGCATAAACGATATTTTTATTTGGTCACGAAGATTTTATTAGATCATAAAGATCTTGTTAGAATTAATTTGTAAAATAATCTTTAGCATCTTAATGTTGAATAAATTTTATTAACATACAATACATTTGAAACATATTCTTGATACATTAAAATGTTAAATATTAACATATCTGAATGTATTAAGAAACTGTTTAATTTTTCGGAACCTTTTTAAACACATTTCAATTACAAACACTGCCACCCGTGATGGCAAGTAAGCCAATTAAAACAGACCCGCGATGATGAAATTATGCCTGCGGATTATTTGGAAGCCCGCGGAGTGCTCCTCGTCGGTGTAGTACAACGCGTCGGGGCCACATGAAAAATCGCGAAAATTTTTTCTAATATCTCGTAACACGAGGCGCGCCGTGGTACAAAGGCGCGCACTTGCGAGGCGTAAGGCCGGAATTTATGAGAGAAGAACATTCCCGGGGATAGTGCCGCGGCCTCCTTCTCGGGCGGCTCCTCAATTATGACAGTGAGAAAAAGTACACATTAAGGGGATTGCCCGGGGGCGGCTGAAGCAAGCACATGCATAGCGCGCTACAAAATTGCCGCTTAAGCTGCAGTGGGCGGTGATAAATGTAGAGAGGTTAGAAGCACGTTTTGACGTGAGGAAAAAAAAAAGAAAAAAGAAATAAGAAAGAGTGCGAGAGGGGGTGGGCTCACCGCAAAGCTCGATGTACTTATTAAAAGAAAGGCGAGCTGATGAAGTGCAAGCCGAGCGTCTCTCTCTCTCTCTCTCTCTCTCTCTCTCGCTTCCTCTTTCTCTGTCTCTTCTTCGCGTCTCCTCCCCACACGGCGGTTGTTTCGTGATGAAGGGACGCAACGAGATTAACCGTATTCATTTGCGATGCTCGTTTCCCTCGTTCGGTTGGTGGTTGGGGAATTTTTTAGGTCGCGCTCCTCAATCATAAATCCATTAAAAACCTAACAACCAGTGGGCCGCCGCGGCCGCGCCATGCGCGCGAATGCATCTGTACGTGTGCGCGTCTGTGCAGTGGCGCGGGGTCGTGTGACAAATGCATTAACTTTTAAGGGGTAACACCACTGTAACGGCCCAAAAAATTGCACTTTTTCGACATTTTTTTTTTAATGGAAGGAAATGAAATAAAGTATTAATACTCCGTGAAGTTAATAAGCATATATTGAAGTACTTGTA